ACGTAGCCGGTTGGAACGTACTCGCGGACTTTAGCTGGATCGAGTTCTCCCGTCTTGATGGGTACACCCACCCGATCGAGGTCTCAATTGGCTGCCTGCCCACAGCATATTTTCGAGGATATGCAGTAACTATATCCACTAGTGGTTCACTAATTCCCCTTCGAGGTAGTGATACCATACCACTTACAGTGACGCTGTCGTTAGCAATCTGGACTCGTTCCTGCCGAGCCGTTACCTTATTGGCAACACGTTGCACAATATCTTGGGAGTAATCTGGGGCGGCCGTAGCACTAATCGTTTCCACATTGACTGGCTCAACACTAGCGTTACCAAACTTACCTCCGGCCCGCATAAAGGAGACAGGCTCGTTGGGTGGCGGTAGATTGGCTCGGATGGGGGCTGATCTTATATTGTCCCCGTCCCTCACTTCTACCTTTACCACCCGAGACTGCTTCACTTCTCTATGTGGTGCAATGCCAATAACTCGTTTGGGCGTCCTTACTTTCTGCATTCCTGAAGGCCCTGGTTCGGGCTCTTCTTCAGTCGTGACTGATGAAACGTCTGTTCCACTGTCGTCGTGGGTTTTATCCCATCGGGATGGCGAACCCAGTGCTGATTGTCGGCCTAGTCGTTGAGTGATCATTTGCTCAACTAGTTGCTGAAGTTCTTCAGCTGTCATTTGCGGTACGAAGTCTTCAATAGACTCCTTTTCCGTCGGTAAGGGATCAGGAAGTGGTGGTAGTTGTATAATGTTCACTGCCAACACTTCATCTGTTGGTGGTGGAAGGACTAGAAGAGCAGAAACTTCTTCTTCCTTCTCCATTCCTTCCTTCAATACTTCCTTCTCCAACACAACAACTTCATCTGGTACATTGCCTGTGCCGATGATGTTGATGGGTTGAAGAGGAGGCATGGCTGGTGTTGTTTCTTCTTCTGGCACAGGGTTAAGTGTGCCATTTCCTGGTTTTTGTTTCTTTCTTTCTGCTTCTTCCGATTGACGTCGCGCTAAAATCTTACCTAACGGGGATTTAGATACGACTTCTTCGAGTAACAGGTCTGCCACGGATAAGCGTCTCTTTTCAGAGGGCTCGCCGTCCAACTTTTTCTTCCTCGGGGTTCTCAAATCATAACTATAATAATGTCCTAAAAGAACGCTACTTTCGTATATTTGATAACGACTCAACTTTTTCAAAATTTCGCTATAATAACAGTTTTCGATCACCTGCTTACTTAGCTTTTCTACACTTGTTTTTTTTTTTTCAATTCTCCGGAGGGTCAAAGAAGCCGTACAACCCATTGGTTGTACGGGGCTGTTCACCTGTACCATTGCGGCCTTTGCAGTCTCTTGGCATTTATGATGCTGATAGGGTTGCCAGATCTCTCTTGTAACAAAAGCTCATCTGCCGTCCCGTCACCAACTTAGCCCGCCTCGGCTTGGAAGGGCCGTGCGGTTTTGGCCACCAGTCAATATGTGTCTGGCGATACAAGTCTCTCAAACTCCACTGAATGATTTGAAACAAGTGGTATCAGAGTGCCAAGAATCCTACATTAGCACCGACCCTGCTCTAGAATGAGACTCTTCCAAGTAAGGGAATTTCTAGGGTTTGTGGTCGATGCAATGTATAGATAAATGGGAGAAAAATCATGATGAGACCAGGAAAACTCGGCCCCGTCACTTAAATCACACTGCTGGAGTGAACCAGCAGAAGGCATACGCCCTAGTATTCCTCAACCGGCCAGGACCGACTGAGGAACGCCCCCCCTGGGGCAGGCAACCGTGCAATGGGGGGGGAGATTACCAACGACTGCCAGGTCACGGTAGCGCATACCCGGACAGCCGCCAGTGGCCTACCATGAAAGAGAGCCTCGACCCTCTTTCATAATATGCGCCTACAGTCAAACCATCCCGCGTTGATCAGCTACGTCCATCCGCTTTAAAATTAGACACAAGAATGCGAGACGAGCAACTAGCCAGCCTGAATCAGCTCGATGAACCAGTCATCCATCCTTTTGCACTCTTCTATCCCAGAGCATCATAACAATCATTTGTTCTATCTCCCTCGTCTGATGTCTGATGTCTGATGTCGTCTCGAAGCCGATCTTCGATCACATTTGTGTATTCGGAGCTTTCCGAAGCTCATACTCAACTGCTCTCGGCGCGTATGAATCGTCCAGTTATGTCATGTGTGTCGACACCCAGTGTTGCCAAATGCACTTTGTCGACTTCACACGAAATTAAAGCAAATTAATTTTTATTTTATATCAACCATGTCACATACACTACACCACCTACATGGATAATTATGCTATAGAACGGCTTGCGATACTCAGCCTCCATGAGCCTAAAATCCGGGAAATTTTAATTGAGGCAAGTTCTATAGCATAATTCTCCAAGTAGGAGGGAATTAAAATGCTGATCTAAAAAAATAAATAAAGGTACAGTTTGTTAATTTCATTGCTTGGTACTGATTCCATGCAATAATGTCACAATTCGAATTTATATTTATGAGATTTTGATAGAAAATGATGACAAATAGTAGGGAGTTTTATTCCGCAAAAACCCATTTTGAAAATCGTGGAAAAAATAAAAGTTATAGGTAAATATGCTTTTGCTACTTTTTCAAAAGAAGACAAAAAATAAGGAGCAACTAAGGCACATGTTGAGTTGTGTTGTTGTTTTTCGGGACCTTCTGGTCTTAAAGTTACCTCTATGGCCTTACCTTAACAAACAAAGATATTACAGGGCCTGTTGATATCCATTCCGTTTTGTATGTAGCTTGTTGGAACAATTATCTGAATAGTAATTAAAGTAACAAACTTCTCTTGTTTACAAATCCTAGCAACAGTAAGATCATTGACAACATTAGTGCCTAATCATTTGGGACCCTTTTTAACACTGTAACAATCCATTTGAGGGATACCATTTAAATAAGCAAAAAAAAAACACTTAGGATCAAACCCAAAAACTAATGCACCGACCAATGCGGTCCTACGTCAAGCTTCCGTTCGTGCCCCTAGGCACAGACTCATCTACTTTTTATGATCTCTAATGTAACGGGCGTCACTGTACTAGAGAGGGTCTATTGTAAGAGAGGAGCGGATTCAAAACAAACTGCCTTGGCAACCTATGCCTATGGTGATTTCTAGCAACACTGCCAATGCAATCAAGATCAGGGGTTTGGCATATAGCTGAATACACGTACTCAACATCAAAACAACAAAACATATCATGGTACCGCTGACAACGTTGCAGATGTTCGGTACGCAGCAAACTTAAGCGATATGACAGCCATATCCATCCCCTGATCAAGATAGGCGCTGCTCGATTGGCTCTGACTTTGACAGCTCGTTTGGCTCCTAACCTAAGAGGAAGAGGAGACAACTGGCTTATTTTTTAGGTATTCTTGGAAAATGTGAACCGTGATGCTGTCACCTATACTTAACACGCCAAGCGTAAGCGGCCATCGTTGTCGTCTACGCATTGAAGCGACAGACGAACTCTGTACAGTTTCGGAGCTTAAATCATCACCAACTTTGGCAACAAAACGGCCCTTCTCTGGGCCAATAAGCTTATTACAGTAAAAATTTAGAATAGAATTTATCTGCCTGTTGGTCCATATTCAGAACCACATGCCCCCAACGACCACACAAAATGCTCTCCAGAGTTGTTATCTTGTAACCAAACTTGGAAGCCCCCTGCAAGTGATTTTGATCGATTCTCTTCATCAACTTTCACTTTGAAAAAAAAATACTAGAAAATTTGGTACGCCTACAAATCAAAAACGGAAAGAGTTAAGATAATAGATGATCGATCAATTAAAAGAACTAAATTTTCTTCACATTTGTTCCGTGCCCTAGCGGTCCTACGTCAAGCTCCCGTTCGTGCCCCTAGCCACAGACCCTTCTACTTTTTTTTGCTGTGTAGGGATATCGAAAATTGAGTAAACATAGTTGGGACTGACAAGATGACAAATGGACAACATCAATCTGAATCCGGCTGTCAGCTGCCTCCAAAAGTTTCTCCCAAATTAAGTTTAATTTATTGATAGTTCTACGCATAGTAAATAGCCTGGAAATAGTTTCCTTTTCAACATTTCACATTTCAACAGTAAACGTGGAAAATCTAACTAGTATAATTGGGGAACGCTTCGCTGGATGTCACAGATATTTCAATAAAATTAGATTTTTTTAATCACGTCCAGGGTTGTTAATCGATAACTCGATAACGTCTTTTTGTTAACGTCTGCAATGGAAAATGCGCATAGCAGGCGTTAACAAAAAGACGTTATCGAGTTATCGATTAACAACCCTGATCCCGTCATGTTAACACAACAAACCCCTCCCACCACAGATGGAAATACTGGCTGGTCACGATGATAAAGACATACACCCCTATTCTGTATTTCGTTTCAAACGAAATTCTCATACAAAAAAATATTTTTTGTATGAGAATTTCGTTTGAAACGAAATACAGAATAGGGGTGATAACCAGCTCACTCACTTTTTTGTCACCGCGACAAAACGGTGATACTAGCAGTGCCTGTGGTGTAGTGGTAAGCGTGATTGCCTCTCACTCCAAAAGTCTGGGTGCAATCCCAGTCAGCGCCGTCCTCTGAGACTTAAAATCTCTGATCACGCGGCACTCTGATCTGAGTTAATGGGTCGATAGGTAGGGTCCAGTTGTGGGAGCTGACTCCCTGGTGTCGGTTGAATTGGTACCCAGTACGGAAAACAAGATCAACAGAAAACAAATCAAGGAAAAAAACGGTGATACTAGACCACCAAATTCTCCTAAATTTGCTTAGATCATTGAATTCATACAGCCTCAATAATTCATTTTATTCAATTATGTTATCATTTTTGCTGACCATCTCAGAGACGCCTTGAAGTACTACCATTCTAATCCAAAAACAAAACAATAAAAAGAAGATAAAAAATGAAACCTAATTGTGAAATAGTTCTTCCTGCGAATGTCTTTGCCAAACTCAATCGTCCTTTATTTTGTCAAACCCGAACATTCTTTTATTACATTAACCTGCCGCAAGTATTTCTTCGCCACAACATCCAGTAACATATGACATCGAGTAGCAACATTTTATGTCCAACCGGTTGATCACGCATGGCTTCGTTGCGATAAGAAACTCCATCATTCACACTTCATTGACGATTGAATCTTATTCCACAGCGTTGTAGAACCGTCTGTAGCTTCCATCCGTGTGGGCAAATTCCACCGACGTCAGAGGCATTGCCGAACGTTTCTCCAGCATGCATCGAACACTCTCTCGAATACCCGAATACACCAGGAGTGGGCCATACAAGAGATTTAGCAGCCCCATGGCTCGCATCAACCATGGAAAACCAATCAACGGAACCAGTTCGCCTCCTAGAATTGGTGCCAGCGAGTATGCCAAGCTTACTGCAATCTGCTGGATGGCGTACACCGCTCCATAGTTTGGAGATGTTTCACCTGTAATAATCAGATATAATTAAGTCGAGCATACTCGATGATTCACATTAGCTTACATATGTCACTTTCGTTGTCACTTCCACATTGGCTGTCAACCATAGTCGCTAGCAGAGGGACTAAAGCAGCATCCAGTATGCCGATTCCTAATCCAAGACCAAAATGCGGCAGTAGTAATGCAAAAACAGACGTTGCCGATGGGATCACAACGCAGGAAACACCAACCAAAGTTAGTGCTAGTATAGCAATCTTTATCTGTCCAAATCGGTAGGCGATCCCTCCGAAGAAATTAGTTCCAATCCAATATCCGATGGAATCCGGAATGAATACCGTTCCAAGTTGCCATTTCTTCGGGTGAAGCACACTTATCATCCACAGAGGCAAACAGGGTTCCAGAATGGACATGGCCGATGTTGAAATCCAGATGGCACCGATCACTACGAGAATCAGTCTGTCCGTTAGGAGAGGAATCCATTTAGAGTGACCCTCATCCGCTACCACCGATGAAGATTGATGGCGGAACGAAAAATCTAAACAGAAACATTGTACCAATAAGACCACAAAGCACAGCACTGTGAGAATTTGAAAGGGTGCGGCCTTTCCAACAATATCGTAAGCTATCCCTCCAAAGGGATATCCAATCAGAACTCCAACGGCAATGCTTCCCAAGATGGTTCCCATAATTTTCGAACGTTTGTCTGGTTCCGTATAGAGCTGGGCCACCAAACTCATCCCACAAACGCAAACACAAGCAGATCCTACCCCGTGGATGGCTCTTGCCACAAACAGGGATGCGTAGGACTGTCCAAAAGCGAAGATCACGGACGCTAGCAGCAGATTTAAAGTACCGAACGATATCGGTATGCTGTAGCCAAGCTTAGTGGATACATTTCCTACAATGGGATTACAGATTAGCTGGACCAGGGCTTTCACAGCCAGAAGAATTCCAATCGATCCGTTCTCGGACTCGAACGAAACGTGCTGCTCCGAGGTGGTGAAGTTCTTCGGCGATACATTGCCGGTGGTCGCTCCAATCAGCTGCGGGACGTAGTGCAGGTCGAAGTGCTTGTAGATCACACTTTTCGGGATGGTGAACGATGTATTCGATTGTGAATAGAAGTGAACCAGATAATCAGGAAGGATTGGTACTGCAAAGAAAGAAACGAAGAAGCAAACATATGTTATTATTGTTTCAAAATATCTGCATGAAGAAACCCATATGGAAAATGCGTAACAACCTTGTTTCCTGCGAATCTATTTATCAGTAATAGTATACTTCGACGCAGCTATCAGAAATATGTTAAAGGGACTGGAGCAAAGAAAACTGAAAATTTACTTTGACATGAATTTCGGACATTATGATTCTCACCCTCACCAGACTTAATCAGTTTCCTAAAAATCAAATTGGGGCAAGCTGAAAGATTTTTTTTTAAGTTGCATTTTGAGGCTCTTTGAAAAAATAATAATATTAAAATAACATAAGCAAAATAATAAAATAACATGTTTTTGCGTTAGAAGTTTCGTGAAAAGGGTCGATGAAAAGAATTTAAATTATAAATAAGGACACATAAACCATTTGCGCAAACACTAAACCTTTATCAATATTCACAATTTTCATACAAATACTCGTATTTTGAGGTTATGGCCTACACAAAATCTAACAGTTTTTTTTTTCAAAATAAAGCAATGTGCATCCATAACAAGAATACATTTTGAACTGCTTTCATATGATTTTTCATTTATTTTAATTCGGTAATTACTTACAATAAAAATTTCAAAAATGCCAAAATCAAACAAAAATGTTTGTTTTATTTATAAAATGCATGATGAGTCAGAGTCGAGAGGTTGGAACCAAAAGGATTGTATCGAGCTGAGAAGAGGAAGAGGCAAAATTTTGCGAATTCCATCTCTAACTTCTAGATAAGAAGGTTCACAACAAACAAATGTTTGTTTGGAACCTTCTTATCTAGAAGCTGAATAAAAGCTTTTCCAGTCAATAATAAACTTCTTCTGCTAGCGAGTACTTTTCAATGTTTTAAAATATTCAAACGAAAATTGTCTATGTATCAAAAACAATTTTAAGTCCGATATCTCAATTCAATTCCCAGAACAACACAAGTTTGGAATTTCTCTCAATTTCCCGGCTATCAAAGAAAATGGTTACACACGGAATCACGATTATCCTTCCAATCCAAATATATTATACAATTTTTTCTAACATTAAAATTCCTAAAAAATTTAGTATGGCACCATTTTAGTATGGTCTATAAATCTTTTACCTCTTCCAAAGATCCTGAAGAATTTTTAGAGTTTGGGAGATTTTTCAACTTTTTGCATTTCCAGGATATTATTATTTGTTTTTGGATATATGAGATCTCAAACTTTATTTGAATTCCATAAGCTTAATAATTGATCAAACTAGAGATTTTGTATATTTTTCGTGATATTTTTCAACATGGAATTTAAGAATTTGTCGTAAACGAGTATTTCGTCTCATAGTTACATTATTATGAACAGTGTTGGGAAAATATCAAAAACTCAAATCTTACCAATGCACAAGATCTAGCTTGATTTTCGTAGACAGAAATCAACAAGCCAAAAACTGCGGTAGATTTTGCAAGCTGTGATATCGCAACTCGGAATATCAAGCTAACAAAACTCACCAGCTGCAAATATCAACATTGAGATATTGAGTTTCATGACTTTAGCTTTACACACGAACGCAGCCGAAACTTCCATTATGGCTGGTAGCAGTCACTTCGTGTCTACCATCGGTGAAGAGTAAAAAGAGATAGCAAGCTATACTTTCGCTTTCTAAGAAAACGATGTGCAACGGAGTCATTTTTCTGTCGAGTCAACTCTCAACTTGGAATAGTCTCGCAATATCAAAGGAGCTTGTAAAATCAATATCAAGCATGATATGTTGTTCCAATATCACGCGTGATATTGAGAGCGTATGGAGCTGAAAAAAATCAATTGATTGATGATTTTGCCAACACTGATTATGAAAACTATTATTATTTCTTATCTCGATTTTATGCTCTGTAGAATGTAACTAGCTCTTGCCCAAAAGTTAACCCGACAACTCAGCAGTAGCAAAAGACTCTTCGAACTGGGTCGGCTTACTACCGGGAGATCAAGGGACGCGATTATCGGATTGTGTGGTCTTGGATCGATCTTTGGAAGATCGATCTTTTTCATCCCGATTTCCGATTTTTCGGATCGATTCTTTGTCCACGAAAAGATCGAAACAAATTGATCTCTGCTTTCGATCTCTTCGATCTTCAAAAAAAGTAGGTGTATATTTTGTAATTATATTAACAACGAAAAACCGATTTACTCTCACCCCAGACTACGTGTTAAATTTTACGAACATAACGTCAACATCAGAATCGCTTCCTACAATGGCGTCACTATTTGCGTTTCCGATATTTATGATTACAGCAACATTTGAAGGTTTTCGCTACCTCCCTCCTGTGCTCATTGCTCCTTACCGTCACGACAATATTTAATTTAATATAATAAAGGAAAGAATGTCTTGGGGTACCAACGTAAACAAGCGTATAGTCCTTCTTCTTCTTCTTCTTTTCTTTATTAAACGTCGGTCTCTGTTCCGCAATCTAGTGCCAATTAAAGAGCCTGAATTTATAAAGAGACGACATGTCAAAATTGGAACAATCGACTATCTGTCAAAGTCATACGAAAAGTCATTCCAATCGAGCAGAAGACCAGTCAAATGGATAAGATGTCGTCTCTTTATAAATTCAGGCTCTTTAGTGCCAATCACCGACGGACATCGATTGCCATCCATTGACGGCAATCGAATGTGCAGGAAGGCAGCTTCCACACCTGCGTAGGATATCGCACCCATTCAACACACATGGACCGGGACCAAGCCGTTCCCTTCCGAAGGAAGACGTGACCAGAGATTTTTATGCCTCAGAAAAATCCCACCGACCTCGGCTGGGATTGAACCCAGACCCATTGGGGTGTTAGAAAGCAGTCACGCTTACCACTACACCACCGGCGCCGGCAGCGTATAGTCCGAAAGTGAGGATAACAATAACAAACCAACATTTTTGGCTAGAACGAAAGTGAGAATTGGCGTTGACGGTGACTCTGTAGCTCTTTACTCCTATGAGAAAATCCGTAAGCAAACGTCAGACTGTGCTTGAAACATGGCGGACTTTGTACTATCATATAGGTAACTGTAAGACTAGTAGGTTCCGAAGAAACGTGCTCAACTTTTTGGCTCAGCTCTGGTACTATCTTCGGTCCCAAGCTAATCGATTCACCCCTCGAAACATAGGAAAATCCAATAACCCCTCATTTTATCTGTCAAACTTTCATAGCGAATCAAAACAAAAATTGTGTAGTACTAGATTTTTGACTAGAATGGGGTACGTTAATCGATTTGCTTGCGACCAATAGGCTAGTCAAGTAGTAAGCCAATTTCAAATCGTTAGTTTCGTATTGATTGTTGGTACTATCCTTTCACTCCACCGGAAATTCCCTTAAGAAACTGTCTATATCTGTTGGAAGAGCAAATTTTTCGACGGTGCCGTCAACGCCAATAGCAAACTAAGCACTTGAAAATGGGATTGCGCAAGTGTACGAGTTATAAACGTCAGAAAGGTCAATTAAAATAAAAAACCATAGGATCGATCTACCAAAGATCGACTCTTTGGTACCGATTTAATCAGTGGATCGATTCAAGAGTCAATTATAAGCTCGATCCTTCAAGATCGATCTTTCTCTAAAGATCGCCCACGCGATACAAAGTGAAAACACTAAAAAAAACACATTTTTCAATCTCCTATGGCGTCGCGACCACGTCGTGGCCCACACGGCTGCTCCTGCACTAACGTGTGGCTGGAAACTTGCGACGCGGACTGCAATCAGTGGTTTGTTATAGTAATGGGAGAATGACGTCTTCCTTCGTTGGCGCAAATCGGCTGACCGTGACATGGCCACATTGGTCGAACCGAGAAGGGATCCTACTGGACGATTTAGGCCAGCGGCTTTTGAGGACGACGAACCTTGCCATCTTGACTTCCGAGCCACCGTTCAGTCAGGGAAATTTCCGAGAGAGTGAATATACTTTTTGGACGCGCCTGGAGGTACTGGAAAGACCTTTTTGATTTCGTTGCTTTTGGCATCTTTTCGGTCGCAGAATCAAATTGCATTGGCACTTGCATCGTCTGGCATTGCTGCTACTTTATTAGATGGTGGTCGAACAGCGTACTCTGTGCTTAAGTTGCCGTTGAACATGCAAATCAACGAAACTCCAACATACAACATCTCCAAAACATGTGCAATGGCGAAAGTCTTGCAACAATGCAAGATAATTATTTGGAACGAATGTACCATGGTTCATAAAAAAAATATTAGAAGCTTAAGAACGGACATTACAAGATCTTAGGGACAAGCCAATCCTGTTCGATGGTGTTTTGATACTGTTGGCAGGTGATTCCACGATCAACGGCTGCTGATTAAAATCAATGCATGCTTGAAAACATCAAATTTGTGGTGGCATGTCAAAACGCTCGAACTCACCAACCAACTTGTACCAACGTAAACAAGCTTAAAGTCTAAAATAACAAACCAACATTTTTGGCGAGAACGAAAGTGAGAATAGCAAACTAAGCACTTGAAAATGGGATTGCGCAAGTGTACGAATTATAAACATCAGAAAGGTCAATTAAAATATAAAAAATATAAGACCGATCTACCAAAGATCGATTCATTGGTACCCATTCAATCAGTGGATCGATTCAAGCGCCAAATATAAGCTCGATCAGTCAAGATCGATCTTTCTCTGAAGATCGGCCACGCGATACAAAGTATGAAATACTAAAAAATTTCACATTCTTTAAGCTCCTATGGCATTGTGACTCCGGCGTTGGCCCACACGGATGCACTAACGTGTGGCCGGAAACTTGGCGCGCGGACTGCAATCAGTGGTTTGTTGATGTAATGGAAGAATGGCGGTTCTTTCATCAGCCACATAGGGGTTTTGATCTAATTTCCGTCCTACTAAGCACAACGCGCACTTTACCTCTCTTTTCTGAACGAGTTTTAACTAAAAATGGAATATTTCTGTCAAAGATGACTTCTAAATGTATTCACCTTTCCATACGTACCGTTG